TTTTGGTGATGCAAATTATTGATTGACATATCAGCCCTGATCCCCCCAGTGTCGCACTGTGGGCAACCCAACGGGTTTAGTAAGTGTTCCTGTGTGACCACAAATTCTCAGAAATGTGAAGGTTCATCATTGACGAGATCATGAAGCCTGGATCGAAGAGTGTTGGCTACCTCGCCAGGTCACTGCACCCGCGTGGTGCTTGTTTCCCAGAGCAAAGCTTCATCGAGATGCATGATGTATCGAGGTCCTGTATGTATATATATATACACATGCAATATGACGAAATGGAGCACCGAAAGAGGTTTGCTGAAGTTTTCGTTTACAAGGGGAGGCTCAGAATTAATAGTTTCGACGAATCGAATTATATCAATATCACTACTAGAAACATTCCCTCAATAAATTAATAGCATATTGATTTACTGGGGGGCTTAGGACACACGCATCGCAAGCATCATTTGAGCGGTTGGAATCAGCTTAGCGACACAGGTCCCGGATTGGGGTTCGAGCATTTCCACACAAGTCCAATTGGTGACACTAGCGAGCCTCATGGAGTACACCACGCCTCCATTGATAGTACTTCTCTTGCGGATGGTGGTGGATCAGCAAAGTATTCTTTGGCTTTCGTTCCCGCTTCTCAAGTATATATTTACTTATAGATCCCAGATTCCAGATCATACAAGCGTCGCCGCATCCCTCCGCTGCCAGCCAGGCACAAGTATGGTTGTCGGACTTTGCAGCGTCTTCTGGAGCATTGCTCCCAACAGCAAACCCTTCCCATTGTGGAGGGGCTTTTGGCAGAGGTAGTGCCCCTGCTTTTTGGCTTGATGTATGTCCTTCGGAATGGCGTATCCGCAGGATGAACGAACATACCAAGAAAAGAGAAGACAGATTCCCAAGAACATATTAAATAATAGCAATCAGCACTGCTTTTTGAGGGCTTTGTGTTATGCCACTGAGGTCGAGGCATCCATACGGCAACTATGTGGTGCAACAGCTATTTGAGCATGGCAACAGCGAGCAAAGGGCCTGTGCGGTTCAGAAGCTGGTGAAGAATGCCCCTAGGAGTGAAATCAAAGTTCAACTTCGAGTCGGAGTCGAAGGCTTCGAAACCCTTGACAGGTTTTGTGGAACAGCGTTTCCGAATCAGCCTGTGCAACAACAGGTGCCAGGTATAGTAATTCAGCAACCTGTCTTAAGCACAGACCTCACTCACGTGCGATGCAGACAGGCACATGCATGCCACCTGTCAACTGGAGTATATAGATGTTTGTTTTCCCACTGTGCATGTATTCACCCATTTCAGGTAGGCAGGGTCGGTGATGAGGATTTTTTTGAATTGAATCAGTTTATATAGATGTACTCAACTCCTTTTGTGAACTTTGGTTCAAGCCAAAAGGAGTGTCACTCCAGGCTGTGTCGCGGCAGAACGAGCAGTTTTTCTTTGTTTTTCCCTGTTCGTCTCGCCGGGCCATGTCGAACTTTGCGCAGCGCCATGCAGCTGAGCATGGCTTTGGACCGGCATCGAGCAGGCGAGCGATTTGGCTTTCTTCTTCACCTCGCATGAAGAGGCCATGAATGAGGCGGGCCGGGCGATGGCTGATGGCTGGGAGCTCGCCCGTCGTGTATGGAGGTTGGCGTGGGGGACTTTGTGCGCGACCTCTTCCAGAAGCGCGTGAGCCATGCGCGGCCGGCGAGGCCTGGTGTGTGTTGCCTCCTTCCTCCGGCCCAAGGACCTAGCTACCTCATGCGCAAGGCCGTTCAAGCTCAGTTGCGCCCGGTCTACCGAGTCCGCCCGAACTCCGCTTTCACGCCACGCATGAACGACATTGAAGGCCACCCCGTGCCAGCCACTTACTGCTCAGCAAGTCCCCATGGCGAGTCTCATGGCGCCGTGCCCACACATCCTTTGCGCAAGTTTCAATCCTGGATGGTCGAAGGCACGGCCATAGGCCTCTAGCCAGCCAAGACCTTTCCACCCTTGATCTGCCTTGGGGAAGACCGGGGCTTTCAATTGACACAATACCCCAGTCGAGACCCCCTGATTTGACTCATCATGCTCTTGATTGGCTGGCCTGATCCTTCCATCATGGAATGTCTCATCCAGCTGTTGGCCTTTCACCAATGTGCTGGCTGGCATCAGCCCGTGCAAGTATGACGAGGCCATCCATAGAGCAGGGGTTGATGATGAGGTGCTGGGGTTCTGCGCCACGGCAACAGTTATGCAGTTATGCGCACATCTCCCTGTGTTCCTGCTGGGTGGCGCGACTTTTGCATCGAAGGCCGATGTGAGCCGGGCACACAGGATTGTCAAAGTGAGGGAAGCAGATTGGGGCTATCAAGCTTGCAGCGCAAGAAAATCTGCCGCGCGTTTGGCTCAACACTGTTGGTTCCTTTGGGGTGGCGAGCGCTGCAGTGCATTGGGCCCGGCTCATGAGTGGACTGCAGCGCGCGGCGCGTTATTTGGTTGGTGATAGTGAGCTTTTCAGAGTCGTGTATGTGGATGGCATTTTACGGCTGGTGCGTGGCGGCGCTGCGCCGGAAGATGTGGCTGTCATGTTGCTTTTCCTTTGTGGCGCTTGGTTTACCACTCTCATGGAAAAATATATTCCATGCACTAAAAAATTATTCCAGGGTACCATGTGACCTCTTGGAATAATTTTTCTGGAATAATTTCCCTGGAATAATTTTTTGTGGGGGTGGGGTATCATTCTGACAGACAAATGAATTCTGCTTGAATCTTCGACCTCTGGCATACCCCTGGAATATTTTTTTTTAACTCTCCTACTATGTAGGTCAAGGACCCCCAGAATAATTACTAATATGTAGAGAGATGTGGGGGGGGGATGCATGACAGAGAGACTTTTGTAATTGATTGTTGCTTTGCCGCCGTAGTGCAGTTGGGGTTCAAACTGCGCTTAAAACCCGAAATCTCACGTAATGGCAATGGAACCGGTGCCAGCAGTGGCACCGCGCGTACCAGAGCACTGCCATGTGCTCGCATGCACCTTGCTTGCAAAAAAACAAAGCAGATTAAAGGGCAACCCGGGCATACCCGCACTTGATATGGGAATCCAGATTTGTTTGCCATGTGCTTCGAAGGTACGGGATCAATGCTACCTCCGGTGTGGAATCCCCGCCACAAACTGTGGATCTCCTCTTGTGTAACTTGGTGGCAGAGTGGGAAGCTGGCAAGGGATGGCGGGGTGTTCATTTATATGGAATCTACATGATTCTACGAATTGAGATTCTTTGGCTTCTCAATTTTTTCAGCAATCTTTTGTTTTTCATATGCTTTTTAGTTCAAATTCATCAAGGACATGGACGGAGCAACACTAGAAGGCGGGCGCAGGGCGTCTCATCATCAGCGCTTTTGGTTGGACGACCAATGGAACAACACTGTTCGCCTGAAAGCCTCCATCGATAAAAAGAGGGAAGAGATGGCAAAAAGGCCAAAAGCACATTGGCTGGAATTAGCTGACAGAGTTGTTTTTGATAATATTTGTTTTTGATTATTCTTGTATATGTTTGTAATGTATTTGTTCTTTAAGCGGGTAATTTTAATTTCCTTTTCGTGAAGGTGCCAGAAAACGACATTGCTGCGCAACCAGCTCTTGCGGACTCTCTTGCGGGAGAACCACAATCTGGCTCATTAGCAGAAAAAGCAGAACGCGAGAAGAACAATGAGTCCGAACAAGCTCTTTGCTCAAAATTCGATTATGTTCATGTTTTAATTTTTTCATATTTTTTCCTATATGATGAGTTCTGTAACGAGCCGTTCACTCTTTGGATTCCTGGAAATGCTACAAAAAGATTCAAGCAGTCGCAATCAGTATTTTGCCCGATTTTGCCGGGTACCCACGTGGCTGAGGATTGTGTGCCCCAAGAAGATCAGTGCGCTAAGCAACCAGAGCCTGCCCAAGAAGATTCACCACCACCACTGCCAGCGCCGCACAAAGTGCCAGGACAGGATGAGAGAGGAAAGGTTCCTGGAATTTTACGGAATTTTAATCAAGTTCTTTCATATGCTTTCTATATGTTTATATTTTTTGGTTTTGACCCAGACACAGTTTACTCTGACGCGGTTTTGGACCACTCTGGCGTGGCAAGGTTGTGAATCAAGATCAGTGCGTTGAGAAACGAGAACCTGCCCCAGAAGATCTACCACCACTGCCAGCGCCGGCGACAGCACCTCCTGAATTTTGTCTGCGTTGATGTTTTGGGTTTTGTTTTGAATTGTTTTTATATATTTTTATTTATTTTGTTGATTTGTTTTTCCCATTTCAGGATCCCTCCTCCAAAAGCCATTCAAAAAAACTATCCACACAGGAAGTGGATCTGAAGTTGGAGCCTTGCGCGATGAAGTGGCATCCTCAGGAAGGATTTGGTGATCCAGAGCTGGAGCAATATGTCCGAAGTACTTACCAGGAGCCTTGGCTCCAAAATAAAAGTAAGGGATTGATGAGGACATGTTCAAGAATGTTTCAGAAAATGGTGATGGTCATAGTTGCGTTTTCCTTTTTATTGTTTTTTCATTTTCATGTGTATGAGCTTCTGCCACTGCTTCTGCCACAGGTCTACGTGGATTACTGCAAGGAGGTCGGAGGAAAGCCTATGTCCCTGCAGCAGTTCTTCGAGCAACCTTTCCACTCTCAGCCATTGGATTGCGTTGCAATAATATTTTCATATATTTTCATACTTATTTTCATATATTTTCCTTTTCTAAACTTGTGTTTGGGTCAGTCAGGGTCTTTGACTGAATGGCTTTGGTTTGATCTGATCATTTCCCAGGCGGGCCTTCTGGAGGTGCAGTATGCAGGAGCTTAGCAGTTGGGTCACGTATTGCAACACCATGCCTGCCCGTGCATCTATCTTTGGGCGCTTGACTAGCTCTATCAAGAGCAAGCTTGTCGCTGCCGACCCGTTGGAAGTGTGCAAGTCAAAATACCCCGAAACGTGCAGATATCTTGAGGCACTTGGTGGGGTTGCAGACCCTTGTTTTGCTTAGTCAGTTTTAGAGTGCAGTTTCTTTCAGCTGTTTTTTTTGGTGAGATGTTTGACGTATATATAGTTTGGAAACTTTTTTTTTTGTGGGTTTAGATTGACAGCTGTGTTTTGATTTCGGGCTTTGGTTTCTGTCGGTCAAGGAGCCTTCGGTGGAATTCTGGGCTGATATGGAGGCTAATCTGCTGAAAAATTGGCCCAATGATGAGCTGCCACCAGGAATCCTGGCTTGACATGGGTTGAGTGTGGGTAATTGGATATTATTCTGGTGGTCCTCCACATGCAGAGGACCTATAGTTTTTTTTGTAAATACGCAGTCAGAGCTTTGGTTGGGTCAGAGCATTGAGTTTTGTTTTTTATTCTGCTGGTACACAACCTGTAAAACAGCGCTGGATAAATATCAAATCTTCAGATATTTTATCACGCTGTTATATGTTACAGGTGTTGTCATTTTTTATTCTGGGAGTGCTTGACATGCAAAAGAGCCTTGCAATAAAATATTTATGTATAGCTGTTGCATCCGTTTTTCCTAGGACGTCAAGCTCACTGGGGGCATGTGATGCATGGAGCTGTGGGAGTTCTCCGGCATTACTATGGCCGAGCTTGGCCCCAGCATGCAGTGATTGTGGACCTTGATGTGTTGGAACGGTTGAACCTTCCAAAGCTGCAAGGGTATCCAAAGATCATGTTCATTCTCCTGCAGCCCAGTTGTGTTGTCTATTGTTTGTTTTTAACGTTTTTGCTATGTTTGTTACAGTAGACTATTTTTGTGGGTGTGCTGATACTGATACCGCATGTTGTTAAATGACGGCGCAGGCACAATGATTCCCACCAAGCTCTCATGGTTCTGCGACGGGGAGAGTTCTTGGCGAAGATGTTTGACGGGCAGTGGAACCGTGAGCTTTATGAGCTTGCCAAGGATGCGTGCAACCGCATTGCTCACATTTTGACTCCAGTGGACCCACAGTCTTTTGGAATCTTTTGGAGTTGTATTGAATTTTATGACTTTTTTTCAAAAATCATTTTTTTAAATGTGCATTTTAACTTTACTGT